CGATGCCGGGCTTTAGCCAGTCTGAAGACGAACTTCTCTGCGTTTCTGCTTTCCAACTTCTCGTACAAGGCGTCCATTTCCGTGTTCTTCGCCTTGGCGACGGCAGCCTTAGCGAGCCTCTTCTTGTAGGCAGCGAGGTCCTCGGGGCTCCGGGTCTTCTGCCAGCGCTTGTATGCTTCCTTCTTCTGCTTCACGACTCGCTGGACCTCCTCGTTCCAGAACCACGCTGCCTTGTCTCCTCTGAATCCACCTCGCGTCTCGCCCAGTACCTCCTTGGCGCATCGTAGGATGATCTCAGCTGCATTGCCCCAAGTCTGCTGCACTGGTCCCTCAGGATCTGGGAGACCAACTTCCATTATCCTTCGTTTGAGGTCATCCTTCTCTGCTTGGTGCAACTTCCACCACCGGATTCTCCTCTCGGTTCTTACCCTTGTCTTCTTGGGGAGGTCTATGGCAATGTCTGCCAGGAGGGGCCTGTGCTGGGGAGCCAGTTCTTCGCCAGGTAGTACCTTGATATCCTTCACAGTTTTGAGGGATGATCTTCTTACCAGCACATGGTCGATTTCCGTCTGTCTCCCTCCACTGCTGTAGGTTACCTTCTGAGTCTCCCTTTTCGCGAAGAACGTGCTGCAGATTGCCAGATCGTGGGCTGTAGCCAGGTCCAGGAAGAAATCCTCGTTCCTATTCCTCTACCTCCGTGCACCCTTTACAGGCCTCTTCTGCCGACGTGGCCATTTAGATCAGTTGCTATAGTGGGGTAGTAGTCTTCTGATGGCATCATCAAATCAGAGATGGAAGTCGTATCTCTCACTTTCGGGGCGTCCGATTTATATTGTCCACCACACTTCCTTCGGGTCTGTTGTCACGGCCATGATCCATCTGCTGATCCTATTCACAGCGAAGACATACCTTGAGCGACTCCGCTACCGCTAATAGTCCCTGAGTGCTCCACTCATCAGATCAGAAACCGCTCTAACTTCCCAGTTAGCGATCCTACGGTCAGAGTCCCTACTCGACCTATCTTCTTCTCTCTTCGGTACCCCTAGCATACTGACCATAAAACTCGGGTCTCACGCACACCTGCTGGTTGACGCTCATCATGCAAGATCCCCTTTGGTAGTGTCACTGATTTAGCAGGTAGGACTTTTGATGCTCCTTACAACATCGAGGAAAAGTTAATTTACCTAGTTAGTAATTAAAATCATGTCTGCAAGAGATGGTGGGGAGGAGGTGGACCTTCGGCGGAATTGGAGATAGCTCACGTGCAACTATAGCGTCGGTTCCAGATTAACGTAGAGAATGACGATAATTTTGCAAACCCTCACCCTTTCTGACGCGGACCACACGGCATTGCCCACCGGGCATGGATTTGATAGGCGATCCTTCACTCCGACGTCACCTACACTCACATCTCCTCACAATAATACTGCCCATCGACTTTTGTAGCCTCGGGAGGGATGGTTCTGAAAATCGGGAACGTAAGAACCTTTTACTCGCCGTCTCACCCTTTTCACGGGCTAGTGCGATCTTTCTCCACGACTTATACTATTCCGTGCCTTGCGCAGCTCTGTCCTCTCCCGGCTCACTCAGTACGGCGACTCGCGCTTCCCCGGTGCGCGGACTCATGGCACCTTGCGCCTAATGTCAGACAGTATTCCAGCCAATATGAAGTAGCTGAGTCTCCACTCTTGCACTCCTTACGTGAAGAAATACACACCCTTCTGCGTTTCTCGCTATCCACAATTTATTCGCTACCTCGTAATTCAGCTGCCCATCAACTTTATATGCGCCTATTAACCGACTTTAACTTTTGATGCTCAGTAATATTCGGAGTTCTGCAACTCTTTCTGCTCGTCCTTAAGAGACGGATTTTCCTCCTTTGTAGCCAACGGACAACGACGCCACATTTCCTAAGGCGCTATGCGAGTGCATACTGTTTCTCGAATCGGTAAATGGAAGCAAACGGGTCAAGCAAATCTAGAAATTTGGACCATTCAGTAAGACAAATAAGCTTCGTTGCGGTCAAAAGCGTTTTCAGTCATTATGTGAACCATATGTATCTCTGCAGATCATCATTCGTACAGAGCGCAAGGAAAGATGGTGCGTTCACTTCACTCAAAAGGCATGCTAGCAGAGGGATGGGGCAAAAAACTTCGCACATAACGCACATGAGTAAACTGTTTGGGTGTTGGCCTACTGGAAAACTTGCTACGAAATATTCCTGGAATGCATCTTCGAAGGCAGGATTAAGCTTGTGTTCACTGCCTTCACCGTCTTCTGGAGATGAAGTCATTCGCCATCGCCGACGAACTCAAAGGGTCTAGCTTCATTGCTCCAGCCTAAAACTACGACAATATCATTCGATTCATAGGTGGACAATTCCCAGCGGTAAGTACCTCTAGCTAGGGTGTGATTGTAGGTCCAGTTTTAATGTAAGGAAGAACACAAGCCACTTTTCTCCCTCCCCCCCCCCCCCCGCTAGAGCCTCATGGACCAACTTGAGGCGTTGCGATTACTGTACTGGACCTTTGATCATGTAGGCGTTGGCTTAACGTTAGTGGACTCTGAAACGCTGTGCTTGAGCAGTCATATGAATTGAAGTGACCGGCTGCTTGATCTTGGAATGTCAACACGGCTTCATCTGCGTTCCTGAGGTGGTTCTTTCCAGTGATGACACGCTGAACGACGTTGACTGTATGTCACCCTGCTAGCTCAACGTCAAAGTCCCTGATGTGCCTCAGCACATACAGAAAGAGCCGTGGTTTTCAAAAAGTTCATGCAAACCTCTTTTTCTGACACTCCATCGATACTCTCGAACTCTGGCCCTGTTATTCGCTTTCCATTATTTGGCTGGCGCTAATTTCTCCATCATTTCGATTTGCTGGATCCGAATAGAAAAAGCTGGAGCGAAGGTATTCGCGTAGACTTAATAGACCGACCCACTTCAGATTTGTAGATCAAAACAACCTATAACATGGCGGAGAGATGGTTGTATGTTTACTGTACAGCTCGCGAACTACTTTTTCAGCCACAGTTGCAACCTGTTTCAACACATTCGAGCGCTCCTTCGAATCGATGATCTAGTAACCTAGCTAACTATGCGAAAATGATCGATCGTGAAGAATACAACCTGGAAGTTCCACGCATTGTTCCTTCATTGACCCTGCTCCTTCTGCCTATCCTGTTTGCATAATTGACAGGTTAGGCGGTGATTTCCAGTGTCGTGAAGGTCTCCATTTCTTCCTAGCAACATAGTCCTTCACGAAGTGCGGAAAGGTAGCGCGTGAACGGCCAACTAATTAGGGTCGATGAGATGCATAGCTGCGATCTCCCAAGAGGTTCATGCATGACCTTTTCGGGTCCAGTTGTATAGTATAATTCCTCACGACAAAGGCTTGTAGGTTTTGGGACGGAAAATAGAGGGAACCAGGTGTGCTTCGTGCTCCTCTCAGTTGTCTTTAATACTGCTTGACATGGAATGTAGGCAGAAAGATTTGGCTCCGGAAAAGCTTATGAGCCTCTACCCTTGTCCACCATTGCTGGTGATGTGGTAATTGTTGAGACTCACCGGCTAAAGTGGCTTCAGCTAGTTATTTATCTAAGCTATGGCGCTCTCTTCAAATATGATCGCTCTCTTTCACTCCCATCGGTCGAGGCCGCAGATCATCTTCGAACGGTTCCTTCCATGTCCGCCTTTTCATCCTCTGTTCACTACTCAATAGTTCTTGAATAGATCAAGTCCAGGCGTGTTTATATCTCACGACTTCGGAGATTAGGAGATTAGGCGACAAAGGAAAAGATATGCATCGATTGGGAGAATAAGAAATTAGTATTAGATCAGGTGTGATGTAGGATGTTATTCAGTGAAAATAATGCGCGGTTCGATGAGTTTAGTGGAGGCGCCTATTCTCTTAATCTCTTATTCTCCCAGTTAGTACTTATCTAATCACTTTAACTGTATCTTTTATTTACATCGTTATTATTATTTATTATCACTACTTGTTATCATTTATTATTACTATTTCGTTATTCTATTTATACTGTTAATTTATTATTTTAACGTACTACCTCTCTCGATCTCTTGTAGCTTGATCCCTCAATCTTTGAAGTCGTGGAGCATAAACGCAGTCTACCGGTAGTATACGGTAGCACTAGCGCGATTTGTGGAGGATTGAAATCGCCGGGAATAGCCGAGTGCTTTCATCTTTGGTTTCGTAGTTAATGGGTGCCCGCGATCCTGGTTTTTTTTCCTGGGCCGTCTCAGTTTTTGAGATTTGTTAGGTTCGTTCTTCTGCGAGCAAAGGATACTTTTCCCGGGTGAGATGTTGTGTAGAGGTAAATGGCGCTGTTTACCCGAGCATTCGCACCCATCCGTCCACGTACCGTGCCTCCTTCGCCTCGAGATCATTCAATTCGTGCCATACTCGTCTGGGTAAAACACTTGACTTGTTCACCCGACTGGCCCTCGCAATTCGTTGTATATGCCGATTCGCATTAATGCCAGTACGATTCTGAATAGAAGTTATTGGCACTATCTATGAAGCAACTATCGATTTTGACTTGTTTTGCATGTTAACTGTTTCCCGGTAGCGTAACTGGTAGCGCACTTGCCCGGAAAGCGAGAGGTGCGGGTTCTAGTCCCGCCTGGGGCGAAAGTTTTGTTCACAACCCAGCATTCTTGTACAACTATCAATGTCATATTGGCGGCTCGTCATTTTACACTCGAGTTTTCTTTGGAAATATGCTTTTCCCTCCATTTTAAGGATTGTTAACTGAGCTCAACTGGCTTTTGTGAGGTTGTTGGGAACTATGGACGCCGATCTATGTAGCTTCTGCGCTTCATTCATATCATAGCATAAAAGAACTATGAAAGTCATCAAGCTGAATACTACAGAAAATAGGTATACGCAAGCAATTTCTCACCAGATGTTAGTCCAATTCTCTGCCTGTAGCCATTCGCATATTATATTGTTATTTGTAATTCAAGAGGGTTTTCAGATGAAAAATTTGTTTCGGCCAACGTTTCCTCCTCTCCGTTGTCTCTGCAGGCTGTTTGTCTTTATGACGTATCAGCCGCAGTACAACGATGTATTAGGCAAAAACAGTTGAGCGATAATGTTAGCGGTTATCAGAAATGGTTAAAAATATATTAAAGCAGATCGGGCTCAAATGGTGAAGTAATTCTACTCAAATGTGACGTAGGGGTGGAGTGGACCGCCAGTGGAGAAAAAAGGAAAAAATCTGAAATACACAGGAAATACGAGCCTTTTGCTCTATGCTGCGGAGAAGTTCAAAAGGCCGGCAGGGAGATGAGAGATAATGTGAGCGCGGAGAGCGGTAGAGAAGTCCGAGAAGAGAGAGCATAGCAGATATTGCGACGCAGACAAGATATCGAGCGGTGGGCGGAGCGTGTCGCAACAGGTGGAGCGTGTCAAAGTCCTTGGCCCTAGCGCCTTAGTGACGCATTTCGATGCGGGATTTTTGCGAGTAGCCTGCAGTTGCGTCCCATCCACTTCTAGCCACTTTAAGGGCTTATTTAGGTGGGTCTGACCCGAATCTTGCCTTTAAGTAGTGAAAAATGTGATTTGGGTCTTCGCCTGCACCAAATCAAGCGACTGGATTATTTCATTGAAAAAGAGTAAGATGCAAAGATGAGAGAAGAAATTAAAAATCTGTCTTCTAACGGCGCTTGTCCAAAAGGAGTAATTATGAGATACCGAATCACTTCTGCCCTTCGCGAATGCCTAGAGAATGTTTTGATAATCGCATGCCATGAAGCAGAACAGTGAAATTTTGTATTTCGGTAGGCTCGTCAACGGCTTACACGTTCTCAAGGTATCGGTAGTCCTTCACCTTTGGCTGCGATTTCTTCTTGTGGCTCACAGTGTCTTGTCGTTCTCACATTCCTCCTCGCTATGGGAAGGAGGCTTTCAGTGTTGACCTTCTTGACAGTTTCTTTTTCCTTACTTTTCCCTAGCGGCCCTTTTCACTTCCTCAAGTTCACTCGAAAGATACCTTTGTGATCTGGAAAGGGCGTCCTATCACTTCTGAATCATGTACTGAGCAGCTGGGGAGAGATTTGAACTAGGATCGTGCTACAAGCACCCTCGATGTCAGCATGAAACATAGTATGGATCCAATCTTAGAAAAGAGTGTGTGTCACTTCCAATTGATCTGTTGCCGTTCATGCAACATTGCGAGCTGTTTCCACAATAAGCGAGCGTTTTTCTTAACTCTATAATATTGATATAAGGGCATCAATATGTAATAACATCCATTCGCTACTAATGTAATAACTGATGCAGCAGGTCGCCACCTTGCAGCGGTGTATAATAAGGTGAGCTTATTTGCAATTACTGAATGCTTCGCGAGTGTTCCTTATCTTTTCTTGTGAAATAATGTCGTAAAGCCCGGAAAAGCGTTTTATTAGGTACACTCTTAGGCAGAGGCATATCCCTAATCCTTTAGACTCCATTGACGACAGTTTTTGTTGTGTGCTGCGCGGCAATATGTATGCCACTATTTTCGCACCCCGCCGACATTGTAGGAACCATGTACGCCACGACCACATTAGCTTTTTTTCGCTGATGCCCGACTTCTTCTGAATTTTTGCGTATTCGTTCTATAGGCCATACATCAACATAACTAAAAACCCGCGCACAGACCCTGCCCAATATCGCTATAGGTTTTTGCAAAATTCGTTGCCCGACAAAGGCCCGCCCGCGCGCCAAAATGGTCAGTCGTTCGAGACCAGACGCAGCGCTGAAGTGCAATGTGAGTCCGTACAATGAACATTCTCCATTCGACTTGATGAAAAATCACTAATCATATTCAGTCGCAACACTCGTCGTCTCCGTCTTATGCCGCGCAACGCCTCCTGTCGGTACCCGAGGTTTCCGGCCCTCGAGCGGAAACTTCTGCTCAATTCATCCTCATTCCTCTCCTAACGTAACCTGATAGATGAACAATAGTAATGAAGAGATGCCAACCTAACGTCCAATGCAAAGATACTTTTTTCACTAAACAACATGCATTTCCAAAATAATTTGCAATCGCTGGAACGAATGTAAGTAAATCTTTTGCCTTCTCTCATTGGCCAATACTACGCTCATTTTGGTAAACTCCAAGTGAAGCCCTTTATCCGTGCGCATCGAGTATGCTGTTACAGCTCAAATCCCACGATTTTATGTAATGGTTGCTCGGCGGCCATCGTTCTGGCCCCAAGCGGCAAAAAGCCACAACTTGTTAAGAGCGGCTCACTAACCTGGAGCGATGAAACATTGCTTTTGTGATAGAGGTGTGGTCAGATATACCACCTTCCAACATCAAAACGCGTGACTGAAACGCCAGGCCCCACCATTTTATCAAATCCCACCATAGAGAATCAAGGTGCCTACCGTTCGACACCTTATCTGCATCGCAACGATGGTCTGCGATGGGCCTACTCAACAGACTTTTTCTCTCCCCGCGACCTCACATAACTCTACTTCCTGCCTGCCTGGACTTTCCAGCAGCGTTGGCAAGACGGCTCGTATTAACTGTGTTCTTGAAGATTTCTTACTATTTTTTTCTTCAGCTGCGATCCCCTTCGAATCGCTACTTGCAAATTTGAGTGCGATTACCACATCAATTTGATCCCGCTTTTTGCCTTCACTCTCTGTTGCTCATTTGTAAATATCGGAAAGTCTAAAGGTTGGCCGGGATGAAGATTTCATTCAGCAAGCGGCAAAAGAAAACAAATGTAAGCAAAAACTATGGTACTCTCAAATGTTCCTCACGTTTTTGGCCATTCCTAATTTGTGTTCTATAATACAATCAAACTGCTCGATTCAAGCAAAGTGACTCAATGCGATAAGTAAGCAGGGTTAGTTGGCCGTTGTGCCAAGTAGATATTGCGAATCTGCGGTCGTGCTAAGGGTCGTATTCGGAGTTTAGTGAGGCCGCGATAGCACAATGTGAGCTTATTCTCCGTGTTAGCGAGCCCAAAGGTGTACACTCTAGTACCCAGGCTTAGATGACAGAATGTGGCACCCCATACACCATTTCCATAAAAAATACTATAGAAGCATTATAGAAGCAAGCATGATGGCAAGATCAGCCGTCTGTGATACCAAATTCAAGGGGATCGTGTTTGACCCACTAATGAGGAGAATGTAATCACGAGAGCCAGCAGCGGGTCGGCTAGGTTTGATGTACTGATCTGCGCGAGCAAGCGAGCGAGAATTGAATTCCAAACGCCTGCGTGACTTTTACCCGCAGACGAGTCCATCTCGGATAAAGAGTTATTATAGCGAAAAGATTCATATTTCAGTCTTCAAGAGCAGACATGACAAGTTTTAAAAGAAAACGGCTTTACGGCTTATTAAAGAATGTTTTCACTCAAGAGAAAAATTAATATCGTGGTAAACTCATAGAAAAAAAAGCGCAGTGATTATTTTTCGAAGAAAGAAGTTCCAGAGCAGCTCGTATTTTTCAAAGGCTCCGACTAATGTTTTTGTCTCAAATTGGATATTGAAGCAAAACATGAAATATTCGGCGTTCGGTCGATCCCGTTCTAGGATGCGCTACGCACTCTACTTCTACTCAGAATCACAGTGCAGTTTGGGTGGGATTTGGCCTCCACAATGACTTGTGGGGGCCAGCCGATGTACAAGTTAGTGTTTTTATAAGTTTGGTATCAAGTAATCGAGCCCGGGGAGATAGAATGGGTGACCCGGACGACGCATGACCCAGGATTTGATTCTCGAGCCCCGCACGAGATAAGCAGCATCCTTTGCCAGTACACCACTTCAGCCTTCAGCTTTGGACATTGCAAAAATTTACTTTGAAGTCAAAAGCAATTTTGAAAACTCGCACGTGAACCAAAAATGCATAATGGGACTTTTTGAGAGAGATGGATATTCACCATAAATTTCAGATATTTCAGAGAAATTATTCGAGTTTTTTTCTTTTTGAAATTTCCCTACCTCTCCGCATAAAATCAAATTGTAAAGGAGCTACAGCCTTTAAAAAGAAGAAGTGCATCTACTTAGAGATTTAATTTCTCTTTTCATACAAAGATTGCTTCTGAAGTTTAGTAAAGATTAGTAGTTACTTGAAAAAAGACCCTTTTATAGCACTGAAAAACTGTTTTTGTCAAAACTTCGTATTTTATTCCTTTCTCAAAGGCAAGCGAGTACCCTCCCTTCAAAAAGCGAGAAAGTGTCGGGTGCAGACCATGCACCACAAGTGACGACGGCCTTCACAAAATGTTAATGTTTTCTGCCAATGAAATGATTAGCCTGTTGCAGTTGTATTCTATCATCGATTGTCACTAATTACAACTATCATTTACCAGAAATCAGCTATCACTATGAACAACTTCTAACCAGATTTACTTGGAGGCCGTCGTCAGTTGTGGTGTTTGGTCTGCACCCGACACTTTCTCGCTTTTTGAAGAGGAGGTTACATACAAATACGAACACAGCTGTTTAAAGGAGGTCGTACTGAGACCCTGAGAGAGGGAAAATCGTCAAAAATCTCAAACGGTTTACCCAGCATTGCGCTGGAGTTGTATGGATCCCCTCAAGGGATGAAAGTTATGGTAAAGGTCATGTCCCCTTAAAAGAGGATAGTAAAATCGGAATCGAATACAACGGATGGATGGTCGTGAGAGTGAAGGCCTACATAACTTTTTCAGGGGGAAATTAGGAAGAGAGTGGCCCCGAAAATCCACCTCTCTAGAAAACGCGTAACTGAAGAAGAACGCTTGCCTTCCTCAAAACTTCAAAATAATCTGCAGCAAAGTCCCTAATGATCCCCATTTATCTTCATTACTATACCGGAAGAAAAGGCGTATTTTCCGCAGATAACAGTATGATAAAAATGAATAGATTCTAATTGGGCGAATGTCATCGTAAAAACGCTTTTCTTCGAGACTTGCAAGCTTGAAGCAGAACAGAGTCATGCATGCATGAATTTTTCTCTACTCACACCCTTAATTAGACGCCTTGTCTGAGACCGAAGCAATGCACTTGTGCAGAAATGGTCATTCTTCTGGAAGGGAACTTGATCTTGCAAAGACGTTTGTATACTAAATGTAGAGGCATCTGGCTACCCAAGAGTTTGAATCATGGGAAATTTTTGATGACCAGACACTGTTCAAGCCATTGCCTTAGCCGAGTGTAAATCCACTAAAGGGAGTGTGGGAAACGCTTTTCAGCGGATCTTGGACCGATATACGAATAAAATCTGATTCCTAGTAAGAATACCGCTATCAGTGGAGCTTCTTCGCCCAAAAATAAAAGGGATAGAGCACACGAATAGCCAGAATGGACAGATGACCATTCCTTGTAATTAAAAACAGAGCGCAGAATTTGCGTTACAATCCTATCATGAACAGAAGACTGGACTATTTTTTGATGATTCAACGACCTCTTTAGGATCCCCATATTATTTCTAACACTCCTCAAGTGCTCGTTGCGCACCTCTCTCTCCAAATTCATCCAAGACGTATACTGTAAGGATAGTATGACTATCTGATGAACAATCGGCTTTCAGAGAATGGCCGGCATTGCAACAGTTCAAACAAGGACGTTACAGGCGATTTTTATGGAATCGGAAGAGGTTCGAGTTATTTTCCTCTTCACTTCATTCACTTTCACCAGAAAGTATTCATACTATCCAGGTGATACGACAACTCACAGAACAAGAAATCGAAGAGTTCAAAGAAGCTTTTATGCTGTTTGACAAAGACGGAAATGGTACCATGTCCACAAAAGAGTTGGGTATTGCGATGAGAGCACTCGGGCAAAATCCCACGGAACAGGTAGGCATTACTCTTACACTAGACATTGAAGCTTTGAAAATTTCACTTTCTCATCTATACAAAACGCAATCCAACTTTGCATTTGCAAGGAGCTTTAATCAGACATGCTGTCATTCTTTCCAAATGCATAGTTTGCCTGATAGCCTTGACATTCTCGCTACCACAATCCTGGAATTTTTATCGGATTGTTTTGTGTATGTGGACCTTCACACTTCTCTATATACTCTCTCACAAGGCGGTCCTTTAAGTTGGCGCCTACGGGTTGCTGTCGAATAGCGCTAAAAGTCGAAACAGATGTCTTATTCATAGTCAGGACCATTTTGAAGCCAACAAGTAGCCGCCAACCTTGATTGCAAAATTTAGTCGCCACGGGGGAATCGAACCATCAACAGTAACTTCACATTTTTTGGATACTACTAGAACCGTTTAGCGAAAACGAAACAAGTGCTCCAGATGCAAGAAATCATTTTGAAAAGCGCGGCTTGCCCAGAATGCCCCCTCCCTTGTTAGAGCCTCCATACGTTTTCGTACTACGCAACATCCTTCTCCTTGATAGCTCTCGTTATGGGATGGATGGCAAGGAGTGGTTCACACGTGTCACCAGAATCGAATGGGAGAATCTCTACCAACCACTGTTAGAAAGCGTACAGGCGTGCTTTCGTTGACGGCGAAGCTCGACCTCCCACAAAATTCGCCTGGTCTCGTGGCAGCGAACTCGTAGTAACTATGAGCACCCATGTGGACATCAGATGTGCGCCTGAAAATTCGTGCTCCATTAAGAACTTCTAGCTCGGGAGCAGGGTGAATAAAGGTCGAGGAAATCCTCGACCATGGACTCGTATTGGGGTACACCCCAGGAGGCCCGTCGCGCGGGAAGGAGGCAAAGTCAGCGGACGAGTCGCCGCGCGACTATAGGGATGGAAATGAGAATTAACACTGCATCATTTCACATCGCACCACCAGATCGCTGCAGCGCGCCGCAGACCACTGTCTTTTTTGACCGCGCAATGCCGCTCCTGCGCGGTACCCCCCCCCGTATTGTGTTAGAATTGTATCGAGAGTGAATGTCCGCGATGGAGATTGTGACTGAAATGGCGGGCCTCGACAAGTCGTTGACGAATCCTCGAGCGATTTTCACCCTGCTCGTGATGAGTGACGCATTTCAAGACCTTTTTGGAAACTATTTAATTCACTTCAGCCATTGTGCGCTGCTTCCTTTATGTCATGTGGAATTTAAATATCTGGTTGCAGCTCCTAAGCGGTTAAAGGCAAAGGTCGGGCTCAGCCGCCGCATATGAGGAAGTAATTCCCGTGCCCGGAGGTTGTATGTTGGAGTGAGTGCACACACATTGCAGCAACTTCCCACCTTGAAAAACGTCGTTAAGCCCCGGGGCCGTCGGTTTCAATCCGGGACCGCCTCGTCAATCCGGGACCGCCCACCTCCGGAAGTGGTGCGTGGCTGGCATAACGTGTGAATCAGCTAGGTTGATTGCCGTATCAACCGATAGAACGACTGACATCTTCCAGAAAACTTGTTTGTACGTGCCTCTTTCCCCAAGCCAGCCTCCTTCACTGCTAGTGGGAAAGAGGGTTTTGTTAACGGCCTTGTCGACGGTTTTTCTCAGTTTTTTCTCCACTGTCGTTCACTTCGCATCTCTATACTCAGTTCCATACCCCCTTATTGAGCCCGACTTTCGCTGAAAATCGCTGAATCACAAATCAGATGGGTGCGTCAAACCCAAGTACTACAAGTTATTTCAGCAAACTCTTAGAAAATCTATTCAATGATGTTGACATCGACGGCAACGGCAAGGTGGAATTCACACCTAAATTTTGTACACCGTGCATGGATTGAAGCGGTGAGTGAGTTGATTGAATACGAAGCCGTTATTTATTTATTTATTTATTTTCATACGTCCAGTGGACGCGCTCATAAGGTATACGGAGTATATTCAAATAGAAATACTATCAGTCGCGAAAAGGGCAGCAGTCGTCCTCAGTTGTGTTACAGCAATTAATGATATGTTAACCTGACTTAAAGCAACAGTTCAGGAACGGTTTCGCGGGAAAAAACCACCAATAATGAAGTTGTAGATGAAAACCAGACGATTAATGTATGAAAAACTGGAAAAAAACGTCGGGGAGGGTCTTAGACAGGTACTCTCCCTCTGCCGCTCAGCAATGGATAAAGACGCACGTTGGACGAGTTGTCTGAACGTGCCCGCTGTAAACGCGCTCCATTTTTCAATCAATTTTCCCTGTGGTCCCAAAACGAGCACGATTGCCGACGCGTCCAATGACGGCCGGCAAGGGGGCGGGATTGGGGAAATCCCCAAGAACACCCATGTTTGAGGGACTTTCCACCCTGTTTTTGAGTTTCTGAGGTAAGTTCGTTTATTATTTCCACTGCATATGTTCTTCACTAGGGCTCGTGTATCCCTCAGTAGTAGTGGCATTGAAATTTTCGGACCCTCCCTGAACTGTTGCTTTAAAATTGAGAGAGACAAAACGAGAGGAGGGGCATGTTCAAAAGATCCCTTGAGTATTGTTTGAACTCTGGGTCACACACTAGGTTGATCAGTTGGATTTATGTACAGACATGGAAGTAACAAAGAGCATTGCCATGAGCCATAAGGTTAGTGCCTCAAAGGTTCCCTAGCTTTTGTAGCACAGCTCCCCCCCCCCCCTCACTCACCTTCCTAATCGGCTGTGCTAAGGGAATGAGAGACTAAGCGCGGAGAGGAGAGTATGGGGCGAGAGAGCGCTACAGATGAGAGATCGCCAGACAACAGTCTGATAAGAGAAAAAAAGTCTGCAGCTTGGGCAGCTTACTTTGCAAGGCCCAAGCGCTCTATCGGTTGGTTTCCGTGCACGAGAACGCCACATTTGTGAATTGTTTTTTATTAATGAAACGTCATTGTGGCTATCTACGCTGATATCAGAAGGTCTGCCACGAAAACACGGCGGCACAGGTTGAGGCTGAAAAGAACGCGATCACACGGTTGAGTGGAAGCTGCGTAGGGAGAAGAGTATGGCGCCACGCGAGCAAGATTGATGTCAGAGCGAAGCAAGCTGTTGCGCTTCACGAAGAAAGTCCGTGATGCTGAGCAGTGCGCTCAAAGCGCTCTCACTCCGGAAGTGTTCAATCTTACTGTTTTGTTGACGATTTTGAAGGAGCTGTGTTGCCGACAGCGACAACTGGAGTAACTCGATTGGAGCGTGGTTTGACATGGTGCCACCAAACCCGTAGCAGTGAAAATCGTGCATACATCTTAGCCACTGCCTGACCTGGAGCGAATATCAGTGGCCGAACAGTGTTGAACTATTTGCGTTTTTCTTGAGGTTTCGTTCTGTTGCTCGGTGAGCATATTGACGTACCATCGGAGCACCCTTAGGGGTTCGGCCTCTCAGTCACATCTAGCCAGGGTCAACCCTACGGATCGTAACTGAGTAACAACGGAGAGGAATCGCTACGCTGTACCAACTGGATGAGTTATGCATAGGAGTAGGGGGGGGTCGTATAGGCTGGGAGTTGAGAGCGCGCGGGGGAAAAATTCGCCGTTTCAGCGCTTGTATATATCTCTCGCTTGTACATACCCCTCGCTAAACGTGTGTACGGTAATTTTGGAGGAAAAAGTGGGCGGAGTTTGGTGGGTTGAGTGGTACCAGAATTAAATACTATAGAGAGGATGATGGTGGTCGAGGTGTCGAAAAGGGGGTCGTATCAAATCCACCTTGGGGGAGGGGGGTCGTAAAAATTTTTCAAAAAGTAACAACGATAGGACCGACCCTGCCTCTAGCACCTATCGTAATTGCTGCCTTTGAAGAGGTCCTCACCGAATATTGTACCATTACCACGTTATCTGAAAAGGGGTCATGCATATGCACACCCTCAAAGGCGCTAATGCCTCGCCTTGTACGTTGCCAGTGCTGCCACTCTATCAGTTGCACTAAAAATGGCGCCTGCGCCCTCTTGCGTACGATGGGCGTGCCCTCGCAGCGCAGGGTGTCTCTGTCGTACCACATCTACATATAAGTAAAAGATCGAGGTTGCGATGGTGCTTTTTGCTTTTTACCCCACCAATGTTCCTCTCGGCAGTTCTTGTCCAAATTTCGAACAAAACATCAATCCTATCGCTATCCGTCGTTTACGATCAGGTCATAATCGAAGTCGTAGGCATCTTTTGCAAAATCTTCCACTTGAAGCAAACGATGTAGAGAACGTGTTTGCACAGCTGCAACAAAACCACGTGGACACCAAAGAGTGCTCTCCATTCGAATCGCACAAGAAACTCATCATGGGTCTATCAAACGATATAGCACCTCGCAAGTGCAAATTAGGTCTACCTTCGAGGAGTGAGGGTGAATCTCAGGTGCAAAAGTTCGCGCGAAATATGATTATGCCTTTGAAGGTTATAAGCTTCTTCCGCTAAGCCAATATGACCTTCGAATGTCTCAGAGTTCCAAAGGGAATCAAGCACAGGGCGCATTCCAACTCTTTGAAGCCTTCTCATTTCCACATGAGTACCGTGTTGTGAGGAGAAAAGTGAAAATGACAACAAATGCCGCGTTCAAGGGTCTGTAGACACTCTCGAGCAATTGTCTATTGTTCTCAAAGTAACCAAAGACAAGTGGTTGATCGATGAGCTCTAATCTTAAGAGATAAGTCAGAGCCAGACGCTGTGGAAAGTGATCACTGGGATTTCCTACTGCACAAGAAACGTCCCACAGGAAATGTTCCTTGAACCTCACGAATGTGTGCAGTTTAACCTTCAGGTGCCATGTACTGAGAGCTTTCGTCTTGAACAACGGGCTCCGGCAGCAAGAGCGATACTGAGCCCGGCACTATTGCACTATTACAACCCCAGTGGGGGTGAGATGGGTCAAAAAATAATTTTCGCTGAAACTTCGCTATGGGGGTTATCGAGGGTCCTGATCACGAATATGATATCCATTTTGGCGCTGGCGCCAAATTGGCGCCACTACTGATTATCACC